TGTAATATTATATTATTACTTATAATATTAAAATATTATATTATGTTATCTTTTGTACATGTATGTCATATATTATGAATTCACAAGATCACCAAAACAGGGTTCCCTTATTTAAAACTTAAAATTATCAATAAATTAGGCAATTAAATCTGATTATCGTACGGATTCAAAGTCACGCCTATGTGTGGGTTTTTAATTAGCTACAGCCAATCACATTTAACTATTAATTAAGATCTACAGTTGCTGAGATCACACTAGGGATCGCTACATGACCCTCGTCTACTATAAAAACACNGCTACAGGACCCTCGTCTACTATAAAAACCCATTTTTTCCTATTAAAATCAGTTCTTTCGGCGATTTTAAGATACACAAAATCTGCGACACTTTATTCAAGATTCTTACTCTCTGGGACTTAGTCGAATTTTTAATTTATTTGGACTTAGAATATTTTTCTTTAAAACTAAATGTCACTTAGGGATTTTAAAGTGAATTTTGTTTTGGTGAATCTTTTAATTTAATTTAATTTGTTCATTAAATAATAATGTTTTATTTTTATCATGGAAATAAATGTCAATTAATATTTTAAAACAAAACTTTCTTTTATATATAATAAAACCGAATCAACTCTAATTTTCTCAGTTAATGGTAAATATTTATTATATGACTAAGTGTATTGCAACTCTATACTTATTGGGTAGCTAGTCTTTTAAGGTTTAATGTCTTTGTTCTAACGAACATCGCGCCGGCAGACAGCACAGAGAAACTTACGAATATATGTTTTAGTGTTTAATTTTTGTCTTGGTGATTATTGTACCGCATCCTTTCAAGGTGCTTTACTCTAGCACCGGGACACATTGGGCCACCACAATTCCGCCTTGACAAATCTTTTACATAGATATAAATATTTCTGAATCTTGTTTTTGTCAGGCCAAAGGAAAATTTAAGAAATATTGGTGTCGATCTCTCAATAAAATGTAATCTCTCAAACAATAAACTCATTCTACAAAGTCAACTAAAGATACATCATTTGATTATAATTATAAAAAAATATAGAGTGTATAGAATCTCCTGCATATAATAATACAGTCATAGATTTTGTGTAACGGTTTCGTATTATTTATAATTAAACGCTTTATTCTCAAACGGTCATATTTACTGTCGAACTCAAAGTGTACAACGTGTGAAATACAGTGTAAACTCATAATCAACATTGGATTGTCTAAAATAAGCATTACATTACGTGGGATACGAGGTAAGTACAAATTCAAATTTCCGCTTTAAAATTATAAATATTCTATTGCGTAATAAACCATTAAGATAGGTAATAAAGTTATGTAGGATAATTGACTTCATTTATTCAATATTGTTCAACCCCGAGATCAGTTCATTATTTTTGTCATAACGTTTGTGTACATTTTTATTTATTTGATCATTACCCTCATGTATTTAAACTCCGTTAATTCACCCCTCTGAATTCTTTTTTATTCGTATCATTATATCCTTTACACCCCTACATATCTTACCATATTTAAATATGTGTTACTCCGCCATTTATTATCTTATTTAATAATTTTTATTATTATTCGACCATACATACGCTATATTATATCTTTAGTCTGACTAAGAATCAACCCTCAGATTTTCTCTTGGTATAATATAAGCATTTACACCTAGTGATGAGCAAAACAAGAACAAGACCAAGACTGTCAAAGTCTTGGTCATAGTCTTGTTCTTGATAGCTCAGTCTTGGTCTTGGTCTTGCTTTGCTAACTCAGTCTTGGTCTTGGTTTTGGTCTTGCAAATCTAGTCTTGTTCTTGTTCTTGGTCTTGCTTATTTAGTCTTGTTCTTGTTCTTGGTCTTGCCCATAAAATCTTGTTCTTGTTGTGAGTCTTGTCACAATACTCTTGCAAAATCTTGCATTCATTTATATTTGTAAAAATTTTCTACTTAAAAGGTTTAAATAACGAAGTTATCTACTTCAGTTTGTAAATTCAAATTTAATTTATATGCTATAGGATATGCCATAGGATATTTATATGCCATAGTATTAAAAAAAAATAAACAAATAAATTAAATTATAAAAAAATAAGACGTTATTTAAACAAAGTATTTTTTCACTTTAAACTGATGGCGTGATATTGTCCGAATGGTAACGCAGCGGATGTGCGGTCGGGGAGGACGCGATTTCGATTCTCCTAGTCGGATAATTTTTTTTGCATTTTAANGGACGCGATTTCGATTCTCCTAGTCGGATAATTTTTTTTGCATTTTAATTAATTTTTTTCATTGAATAATGAACATGAATATATTTATTTTATGAGTTTACCAGTCGCCGGTTTTATGTATCGATTTTTAAAACCGGTTTTAAATAATAATCGCTTTCTGTTCATAGACACAGTTTTTAAAAATTATTGGTTTTGATTAACAAAACCGAAAAAAACTGTTATAACCAGTTTTTATAAAACCAGTTTCAGTCTCCGCTTTAGAAGTAAACAAAAATTTCATCTAATTTTATCATAATATTTGAAGCACGAAATATTTATTTTTAATCTTCTTTAATTATTTAAAATTAATTAATTACAATTGAATGACAATAAATTTTGAAACTTGATTGTAAAATTTTAAGTTAATCGGTAACATCAGCTCATAGGTAATATTTAATTTGAACAATACGCGTAATGAATAAAAATCAAAGTAAAATTTAATATTGTCGAATCTGTCATTAATAATCTTAACGATTTTAACCAACAACAATTTTTTTTTTTTTTTTGAAGAGTGCAATACTCTTGCAGTTTTATTCTTGTTGTTGCAAGATTCTTGCATTTTGAGTCTTGGTCTTGGTCTTGTTCTTGCAAGTCTAGTCTTGTTCTTGTTCTTGGTCTTGCTAAAAAAGTCTTGGTCTTGTTCTTGTCAATTGAGTACAGTCTTGATGTTGGTCTTGCTGATATTATTATAGTCTTGGTCTTGTTCTTGGTCTCGTAGAAATGCAAGACCAAGCTAAGACCACCAGAACAAGAGTAATTCTGCTCATCACTATTTACACCTTTANCAAGAGTAATTCTGCTCATCACTATTTACACCTTTAATAGTAAAATCCACGTTACCACCATTCTTATTCTCCATTATTCATTTCCCATAAACCTACCTTCGTTAATTTTTATTTTATTTCTTTTTCTTTTTGGTTTATTACAAATATCGAAAAATAATAATATTCAAAAATTAAATTCAATATTTAAATGATTTCGCCATTTTTTTAATTTTTAATTGATTTATTATAATTTCAAATTAAATATTATGTGGTAATAT